CTCAGGCTGGCTTTGAACTCACTGTGTAGTCCATCCTGACCTTGAACTCATGTCAGTCCTCCTGCCTCAGCCTCTCGAGTGCTGGGATTACAGGCATGCACCATCATGCCTGGCAGTTTAGGTGTAAAGTGTACTGAGGTCTAATAACTAGCTTTGAGATCCATGAAAAGTGGACTGGTAGCAAGACAGGTGAATGTATGGATACATATGTGATAAAGCAAATATAGTCAAATATTAATTTTAGAATCCATGTGATAGGTGTTGTGGATGCTCATTGTAAAATTCTTTCAATTTCTTTGTTTTTTAAAAAATATAATACTGGAGGAAAAGGTAAATGAGAGTAGGGATCATGAATACATTACATAAAGGCATTTAGTCTACATACATCATATTTCATGTTACTAATCACAATGTTTGTTTTTTGTTATTACTATTTCTTGACATTGTATAAATCCTTCCATGATGAGAGAAAGAGAGAGAGAGAGAATATGTGCATGAAAGGAAGATGCTTCATTCTTTTGAATGTAGCTTGGGTGCACCATTATATATTTAACCTTCACATTATAGGAACAATTTCAATTTTTCCTATTATCAAGTATGTTCCAATAAACATCATTCTGCATAGATCTTTGTGCTATTGGGTTTGAGCTTCTTCATGCCTGCAGATCTATCCCTGTAACAGCACGCTGGCTGCCTCCCCCAGCTCTGTCCTATGCCCATACTAGTGTATTCCCTTCCACAGCCAGGAGTCAGCAGAATAAGAGGATAAGAAAGCTTTCTTTCAAACTCACCGGTATAACTTTTTAAAAAGATGTAGATCACACAAAACATCACCACAAGCACAGATGAAATCTCAGGAGACAAGCAATACTACCATTAATTAAATATTTAATATATGTTTATTATAGCAGCACATTAGGATGACAGGCACCAAATCTACACTGTAAAGAGTTGTATTTGTGTGTATACTTTGTGGATTACTTGCTGTGTTTACTTTATAAGGTCAACCTGTATAATCCACTGGACAACACAAATTGCCCAACTATATATGCAGATAGATGATAGATGGACGGACAGACAGTGTAGTTTCAACTCCAGAAAATTTCAACCACCACAGAGATTAAATCTCTGAAAGGTACAGAGTTTGGCAAAGCTAAAGTTAAAAGTTGAAAGAATCATAAAAAAATAGAGGGTGGAGAATGAAACTCTAAAAAGCAGGGTCAAATAATTATGAATAAATAATGCATCCAATGCTCTAGCATAAAAGTCCTAGGAAGCACCTGTCTCCAGGTAAGCCAGACAGGCTAGCGAGGCCTGCTCCACTAGGACACCCTTTCTGGAAGACGCCCCCTCACTGTCCAAGAGAGCCACCTCTCCGGATGCTCTTCTTTGGAAAGTCTTTTAAATGGGGCCAACACATTTGGAATAATGGCCTTCACACTCACTTTCTCCTTTGTTTCATTTTCACAGATCTTAACAAAATGCGTGTGTCACTCCCTAGTTACTCTGCAAATTATTACAGTGCTTCAGGGCCTGTTTTTCTGGGCCAGATCTGATCCAGGGAACCTTGTGAACCCCAAGGCTGGTCTCTTTCATCTTCAGAAGGGAACGAGCCGACCACTGCTGCGAGCTCTTCTGTCTAAGGAATTTGGTCTCTGTACCTTACCAGGCTGTGCAAAATGTTCAAAGTGGGCATTCAAATTTGAAACTACATTCATTTAAAACTATGATTGCCAAAACTAGAGGTGCATAGGATTACTAGATGTTTTAAAGGATCACAGAGGTGTTTGTTACTCTATTTTGCTTTCATGACATGCTGTTGTTTTCCCCTATGATTTATCTGATGCTACATCCATAGCTTGGAAGAGAACTCTCGATTATTATCACAGTTACTATGGAAACATAGGATCTATTCTCTCATATTCCCTCCCTATTCCCCAGTGATCCATTCTCCTACCCTCCCCACTCTGATCTTTTCCACAAAGCCCTCAGGAGTATCCATTCCTCTATAAAAAATTCTCCAACCTATACTGTTAAGTGATCAAACACACGTGCACAGGACGCTGACTTCTGCGTTAATGAGAACAGAAATAAGAATGTTAAATTAGGACAGAGACTGGAAAGGAGCAAGTTAAATGAACTGAACTTCACATACAGAGACAGTGGCAGCAAGTGGTCACAGAAAGAGGTGAACTTGGGTGGGAGCAAGACCTCGATGCTATTCCTTTAATATAATTTCAATTATGAACCATGTGAATACAAGACTTAGTAAAAACAAAACTGGGGAGAGCAATGAGGCATAACTATTAATGGTTATGAAGTTTCTTTTATAGATGATGAAAATGTTCTAAAACTAACTGTGCTGATGATTACACAAGTGTGGGAACACAATCAAAACCACTGGATCGTACCCCTTATGTGGGTAGAGTGATTTGTGAATTATATCTCAATAACGCTATCTTAATATGTATGTAAATAAGAAAAATATATGCATAAATTTTTTCTTTGAGTTGGGGTCTCACGATGTTGCCCAGGTTGGCCTCAAACCCCTGGGCTCAACTCCTGCCTCAGCCTCCCAACTGGCTGGGACTACAGAGGTGCGCCACTGCACCCAGTTTAAAAGTTTAAATTTTAAAACCTGCTCAGTCGCTGGGCATGGTAGCACACACCGGTAATCCCAGCACTTGGAAGGCGGATGCAAGAGGATCACAAGTTCAAGGCCAGCTTGGACTGCATAGTGGGATTTTATCTCCGCAAAACCTAAATTTAAAGGGGTGGAGCTGAGGCCATTCAGTGGTAGAAACCATACCTAGCATTGTGAGCACCTGGGCTTAATCCACAGTGCTGCAAAGAGAGAACAAAACCAACAACCAAAAGGAAGGAAGGAAGGGAGGGAGGAAGGGAAGGAGAGAAAGAGAGAAGAGAGAGAGAGAAAGAAAAAATGACTCTGCCTATTAGAATCCCTTCCTCACTAGGCTGATCTCTGCTTTGTGATCAGAGAAACTGCTCCTTCTCTGAAAGTCAAATGTTTCCATTCTTCCTAATATTTCAACTATCTTGACTCACTCACTTGTCTCTCACCCCCAAGCCTCTAGGCATCTTCTCTCCTACTCAGATGATGAGCCTCTTCCTGCTAGATTTCCTTCTGACCCAGGCACGGTACTATTTTCAATCACTTGTTTAATACTCTTTTGCTGAACACCCACTACAGCCCATGCTCCATGGATCTGCAGCGGTCATCCCTCTTCCAGAATCCCCAGCTCCTTGCACCCTGATCTTCTGGTCCAGTGACTGCTAATCTCCACCCTTAGCTCAAACTCAACAGCTCCTTCTCCATCCTGACGCCCAAGCTGCTCAGAGCTGCTGGGAAAAAAAAATCACACAATGTTGTGGACCAGTGTCAGCTACATATTTTCTAACCTTTCAGACTTCAGGGCTGCTCCACAATATCACTGAGTGTCCTTACTCCCTATTCTCATTCCAAGCGTCTCAGATTCTTTATTCCATCATATCAGACGACCTGGCTACCCGCAGAGGAAAAATGCATGCCTTCCATTTAGGCAGTGAATGAATTCAATCCATAGCCCTAAAAATACAGTGGAGTGGTAGTCACAGCACAGAAGATCCATTCTCTTCTGGAACTTAAATCTTACAAAGAAAGAGGGATACACCAAAAAGGAAATAAGCAAAGTATCACCCAATGATGGATTCCATGAGAGGATTAAGTATAATGGAGTAGCATAAAAAAAAAGGGTGATAGGGAAAAGAAAAAGAAAAAAAAGAAAGTGTCAAGCAGAGAACGAAAGTTAGATTATAAAAGGCAATGGGAGCCAAAAACTTAGCAGAGAATTTATTCTGTGATGGAAGTCACCGGAGGGTTCTGGGCGGGAGGGCACCTTGACCTTGAGTTAGCCTAAGTTTTAAAAATTACATCTGCTGCCAGATGGAAGGAATATTGACTACAGATAACAAGGCTGAGAGTGGGAAACAAATGAGGAGGATCTGCAGTGGCCCCAGTGACACATGGTGCAGAATAGAGGTAGGCTGTGTTAGCAGACGTGGGGCAGGTTTAGTGGACATGGGATGTATTTGGGAGGAGTTGGCAGGATTCACCGTGGGTTGTTCAGAGCTTGGCGGGGGAGGGGGTGGCTGTGAGGTCAAGGATGAAGGAAATAGGGAAATTTAAGGATAACTCCCAGATTTCTGGCTTCGGTTTCAGAGATGGAGAAGAAATTTATATTTTTTGTACACCTGAGTTCATGGTATGAGATTTACACTGAACATCTTTGTGGCACACAAAGGGATTAAAAGGCTGCCCAAAACACTAAACAAGTCAGGAATACTTACAACACAATCTCAACTTTGGTAAAACAGTGTCTCATGGTATCTATAAAGGCATCCAGAATGGGTCTACGACTCCCAGAGTCATCTTTCAACCATACAGCTATTTGAAAGGAATTGTTTCCATTGTCAGCTGCCACAGCGATGTTTTCCAAAAGGCAAATCTAATCATGTCACTTCTCTGCTTAAAAAACTTTCAGTGGCTCCCCACTGCACCGTGAATAAAATCCAAGGCTCTCTTTGTAACTCATAAGGTTTCGCATAATCAGACCCCCGCTTCTCTCTGCTGTCTCCCATCTGCCACCTCCACCTGCTCTCAGCAGTTTGGTCCCTACACTTTTTGATGGCACCTAGCATATACCCCGCTCTTCCTACCTCAAAACCTTTGCCCTTGCTGTTCTCTCTGCTGGGAACATTCCTTCCTAACTTGGAAAGCAAGTCTGGTTCATTGTGACTCTTCACATCTGAGTTCAGAAGTCACCTTCTTAGACAATCAAGAGTTTGTGACAGAGCAGTCTATTTGTTTATTTTACAGTATTCATTACGAACTGCAGGTGGATCTATCTACTTTTTCCTCTGTCCTGCACTGAAACATAAGCCCCATACGAGCAGCCGTTGCCTCTGGGAGGGACACTGCCGCCCACCCAGTCACACTGTACCTTGCCAAAGCTGCCCTTCCCCAGCACCATCAGAAAGTTGAAATCAGTCAGTTTCATCCGGTCCCGGTTGCCATTGTTGTCAAATTTAGAGACAGTGTTAGTCGTCTTTTCTTCTGGAGTCTTGGTTCCCTGGCCGATCTTGGCCCTCTGGAGGAGGAAGCACATGGAAGACAAGGTTAGGGCTTAGGGGGACTCTCGTAGGGAGACACAATCACACCAGAAGCTGGGTCTGCAGGTCATGCTCATCCCAAGGAAAGCTTGACACTTTTATCCCTCATGCCTTGCCCATCACCACGAGCTGCCATTTCCCCCCTCCTAGCTGTTTCTAGAATCTACTTTTCCTCCCCACCAACACCACCTGCCTTCATCTCTCCCCTGGACAGCCCACCTGTCCGTCCCCCCGCCCCCCGTATTGGACTCACATGCAGCCATAGTGAGCTTCTCACCCAACCAAGCTGCCTCCTGCTTACAATGCTCCGTCAGTGCAGTGCCCCATTAACCTTAGGGCAAAGACCAAGATCCTCTCATGGCCCGTGAGACCAGGTCTGATCTGGGGCTATCGTCGGCTAAACATCCCCAAAGGCCTGGGCACTGACGGCACAGTCCCCAGGGAGGTTCTACTGGGAGATGGAGGAGGGACCTTAGTAGGTCCTTGTGGGAGGTCTCAGGTTCTGGGGGACTGTGGGACCCCTGCCCCTTCCTCTTTCACTTTGGCCTCTGGCCATGAGTTTGCTCCGCTGTGTGCTCCCCACTTTTGGCATCCAGCAGCCTCATCCAGGCCCAGAGCAATGGGCCACCGGACCGTGCCTAAAACCTCCGCAAGCATGAGCCTAAATGGACTCTTCCTCTTCCTACACTGATCCATCTTAGGCACTTTTCACAGTAACAGAAAGCTCACAAATACAAACGTCTCGGGCCTTTCCTGCCTCGGGGCCTTTGGAGCTGCTGTTGCTGCCCTATGAACAGCTGCTGTTTCCCCTTCACCGGCCTAGGCACCCACTGCTTCAGTGAAGCCCTCCCTGACCCTCTATTCTCCTTTTGACTCTGCCCCCTTCAGTCTGCTCCCCTCCCCTGCGTCGCTTCTCATTAATGTCGGACTAAACCCTGCTCACTCATTTCCCTCTATGAAACTGGAAAGTGCAAGGATGGAATAGAGCTCGTCCTCTGAAGCTTTCCTGACAAATCCAGTCCCAGCTAACTGTCTGCTGGCTAGATGGATGAGTGAGGCCATGTTGGTCCTCGGTGCCACAGGGGGAACAGCTCCCTGCTGCCAGCGCTCCAATGGCAGCAAATGCTTTGGAATGAGGAGCGCACAGGAGGCCACAGCGGGAGACCTGTGGCCACCAGAGTCTTGTTCAGGAGTTTGATTCTAGGACAGGGAAAACCGAGGTGTTAAAAGCCTGGGTCAGATCGGAGTGCTGCCTCTGACTTGGATCAGCTGTGTGGCCCTTGACATCCTCGGACTTCCAATTTCTCCCATAGCAGAAGCCACGGCCACAGATGACCTGGCCCCTTCGTGCCTTCTCTGATGTCTGCCTCTCCTCCTTGTTACTTCCACACTGGCCTTGTTGCTGTTCTCTGAAGGCACTAAGCATGCCCGCGTGCAGGGACCCTCATCTCTAATAGAAGAGCCCTTCCCTGATCACAAACATGAAAGAGCTCAGCAACATCCATCCCTGTTTGCTTTCTTTTCTCCCTGTCACTCTCTCCATTTTAAAAGCCGTATGTTTACTTGTTTCTCAGTTGATGGTCTTTCCCTTCTCACTAGAACATAAGCTCCCCGAAAATGAGGATTTTTGTCTGTGCTCTTCTCCACTGTTCCCTGGTTCTTGGACCAGTGCCTGGAACTTACTTGCACTTTGAGGATGAACTTTTCTAATCCTCCGTCTCCTGGTCAAGAAAATGGAGATAATGCCATCAGGTAAGGGGTCACAGAGTTCTCTGCAACCATGACCAACACATAGTAGATGCTCAGTGAATGGCAGCTGTTAAGATTATTGCATTATCCAGTTGCCTTTTGAAGACAAACAGGCAACAGATACCTTTCTGGGCTTTGAATGCTGAGGAAGATGACTCATTAAATCAGGAAGTACTGGTTGAGTGACGACTGCCAGCCAGGTATTGCTCTAGGTGCTGAGGGTAAGTAGTAAAACAGATACTGGGGGGCACTTTAGCAGGGAATGGGTCCCCTCGCTGTGACCAAAAGACATATTGGAATTACCCAGGGGAAGGAACTGTGTTGGCAGCAGGAGCAGAATTTATGGGTCAGACAGCAAGACACCTTCATGGAGTCAAAACGCCTGGCTGGAGCAAGAGGCACACGGCACAGTTGCATGAGATGTGGCCGGAAGGGTAGAAAGTCCTTGTCCTGCACATGGAGGAGTCCAGGCTGCTTCTGAGCAGGACTGGCCACTCCTCAAAGATTTTAAGAAGGTTGCAGAGAGTCAAGGGATCCACGTGAAGGACACGAGTTTGGAGACTGTCAGGGACTGACTGTGGTCATCAAGGTGGAAAATGAGACTCTGAATCCAGTGTCATCTGCAGACTGAATGGAGCGGCCTGATGGGCCGGGAGACTTATCACACCCAGCTTCTGTTCGGAGCAACTGGGGAGATGGTTCTTTCCATGGGGAAGAGGAGGAGGAGGAGCTTGGAAGTGTAGACAAGAGGTTGGGAGAGACGGCAGTCTGACTGCAGACGAGTTGGAGATTCCTCTTCTCCCACAATGGCCTACAGGGCGCAGCCCTTTCTCGAGTGCTGACAAAGCATCCGCCACACTTTCTTCTTTTTATAACTAGTGTTTTAAAAATTGAGATACATACGGTAAAGTACACAAATCTTAAGTGCACGTTTCCACGAATTTTGACAAGTCTATTCGCTCACGTAACCCATACCCCAGACAAAATAAAATGTCTCCATCCCATCCCACGGAAGTCCCCAACCAAACAACACAAGCCACCTGTGCTCCGCTCCCTAGCCTCATAGGTCAATTTTGTCTTTCTTGAATTCTATCTAAGTAGAATCAAAGAATACACACTCTTTCATGTCTGATGTCTTTCACACATCAAACTATTACTGAAATTCATCCATGTTGCATGAATCAGTAATTTGTCTTCTTTTGTGTGGGCAGTACTGGGAACTGAACCCTGGGCCTTCGAACTGAACTAGGCCCCCAGACCTTTTGGAAAACTTTTATTCTGAGACAGGATCTTGCTAAGTTGCCACGCTAGGCTCGAACTTGCAATCCTCCCACCGGCCTCCCAAAGTGCTGGAATTAAAGGCGTGTGCCACCATGACCGGTTGTTTTGTTTCTTTGTGCCTCCGGCCAAGCCTGAAGATGGCCCTTCATCTCTTCCCTAATCCCTTTCTCCCCCACAGATTAGAGAGCCAAACAGATCCTGTCTGTTGTCAGACAGTCTGTTTGACTCATATTGTAGACCCTGGATGGCACAGCCCGGGAGGCAGTTACATTGTATCTTCCCTGTTTCCTTCCTGCGCATGCCCCATCACGAGACAATCACACTACGTTCCGCCTAGACCACGTAGGCCACGTAGCACTATTTGCCCCGCCTTCTCTTCCTAGTTGCCTTCCACTATAAAGAGCGCCTGGTGCTCCAGGTGGCCATTAGCTCCCGACAAGCTATGGTTCCACGTGGTCCCAGCTAAGAGTGATCTTGGTCTCCTTCATCTTTCTTCATCTCCCACCGCCCTCCCGGGCTTCGGACCCTTTGCTGTGCAGGTCGAGGCACTTTGTACTGCTGAGTATCATTCATCGTTGATGTTCATTATTCTGTTTTATGAGCATTTGCATCGTTTAGACTTCAGGGATGCTAACAAAACTGCTGTGAAACAGCTGACAGGCAATGGTTTAAAGATGAAGTTTGCTGCAAAGACTCATTTGAGTACTGAGAGTGCCAACCTCATGAGTGGATCAACCCTTGGCTGAGTATGTAGCCAGAGGAGCCATGGGAAGGGACCTGGATGAAGAGATGGTCACTGGGCAAGTGACCTGCAAGAATGTATTCTCATGCTCACCCCTCCCTCTTTCTTTTCTCTGACTGTCTTACTCTCCGTGTTTTCCTTGCTGCCGTGGGCTGACCAGCTTTGGTCCATCAAACCCTTCGCCATGATGTTTCTGCCTCAGAGCCAGCTGACTGCAGGCTGAAGCCTGAGTCAAAGTAAACCCTTTAAATTGCGCCTGTTAAGTGTGACATGTGGTCCCAGTAATGGAAAAGCTGACTAATACAAGAAGGTTATTTAGCAGTGAAAATATGCTGAGGGTTACGTGTTTCTGGGACAGCTAAGTCCCAGCTACTTCCTTACTGGGATATACCCAGGAAGCAGTGGTACTTGTGGCTCTGCGGTTAAGAAAAGATATCTGAATTGGAGACAGAGACATAGGGGTTATAAGCAAAAGGGAGTAATTAAAACCACAAGATAAGATGTCTTATTTGCAGTGGAGACCACACATGAGACCCCAGGCAGAAGCTGTACTGCCTCTCTCAGGCCACATGCTCACAGCACCCCAAATCCTGTCTCTCCAGGCACAGGATTTTGCCCACCCTGGCCTGCCTAGCACACATTCCCTGCAGCCTCCCCACCCAGCACCTCACTGCTTTACCGCTTTCTCCTGCCTCCTTTGAGCCCTGACTGAGGAGCCGTCAGACTCACACACTGCTCTCCAGCCTGTGCGGACCCCAGGGCCCGTGCCAGCCCTTTGGAAGTGTACGCTCACACACCTGGAGGTCCTGGGCACAGGCCCACTGGAAACCGAGGCATGGGGCTCACAGTTTCCAACTTCCTCTTTGGCTCTGCTTGAAAGTTGCTGATTATTTTAATTTTGGTTTGGGCTTTTCCCCCTGTCTTTCAAAGAGCAGCAAGTGGCTGACAGTCTCATCCCTCAGCCCATAAATTCCCTTCTCTCCTTTCAGTCGGGGCCGGTAGCTCCCTCCCTCCTGTTTCCTTTGTGCCCCTGCTCACCAGCGTGCGCTCTGCTTTGGATATGGCCCGGGAGTGGCCCCAAAGTCTTCCGCACTGGAAGGTTCAGTCCCCACTGTGATGTGAGAGGTAGTAGGACCTTCAGGAGGTGGAGGCAAGTGGAAGGGGACTGGGTGACTGGGGAGCACCTGCAAAGGTAATGCTGGCCTTGTGGAGTCAGTTGTTCAAGAGCTGGCAAAGCCACCTCACGTGCCTGGCCCTCCAGTGTACATCCAGATCCTTTTCTGTTTCTCCACCACGCTGTGACCCAGCTCCTCAACAGAGGCCAAACTGATGAGGTTACCCAATCTTGAGCTCTCAGCCTACGTAACAGTGAGCTTTAAAAAACTTTTTTTTCCTTCTTAAAGTACCCAGCTTCAGGTATTTTGCTATAGCAAGAGAAGACAGAGCCATCCAGCATGTCATTTAAGCTTCCAGAATCTTGATCAGAAGTCTAATAATGCCGCCAATCTGTTCTGCACAGTGTTTGTTGCTATTTTCATACATAAATCAGTTGCCAACTGTTGAAAGTCAGGAAGACACCTCATAGAAACCCATACTCCTAGCTTCTTTTGAGAAAGTAGATCTAGCAGCACAGTGTAGATCAAGCTTTTCGCCTGTCTGGTTGTTAGCCTGGCTCTTGCAAGCATTTGGGCCTGTGACCCCAACACAGTGAGCTTCCAGAGGACAAGACCCTGCCGCATGTCCCTCCAAGGACGCCACAGCTCTATGCGCCTCGTGCTTTGCAGACGCTCCCATCAGCGAGCAAGTGGGGTAAAAGGGGGTCCTTTCTCTTGCTGGGTAGGCTGTGCCTTCAGGACAGGAATCACTAATGCTTGTCTTTCACGTCTGCAGTGTGGAGCCCTAGAACTCAGTGCTCAAAGAGAAAGCAAATGGAGAGCATTTCCAAGAAGAGAGGTAGCCACTTTCCAGGATGCTCCGAGGGCAGCGAAGGCTCCTCAGCAGCAGGCCCAGGCTCCTGGAAATGATATTTACTGCCTGTCCTGGCTTCAGCTACACACTCCTCTGCACCCAGTCTTCATAAGGAGCTACTAGGTGGCACTCTCTGCTACCCAGCATTGGAGGAAGGCCCTGGCCAGCTGGAGGACTATGGACAGTCTCCTACCCCTCCCAGGGGAAGCATATTCCGAGCTGTATTTATTACGAGGGGGAAGCTGACAGTAACACTGCCAGCAGCCCCTGACATCTGAATGCTCATAAGATGCAAGATGCTTCCAAATGCATTGCCTGTTCAGCCCTCACAGCCCTCTGATGTCAGAAGAGTCCTAATTCCCCATTTTACATACAGTTGGACAGAAGTGCACAGTGAGTTAGCAGCATGCTGCCAGTCACTCAGCAAGGAAGTGGCAGAACAGGGATTCAAAACCAGGCAGCCTGCTCTGGATGCCAGGCTCTGTTGCACAGATGTGTACCAGTGCCCAGCCAAGACCCTCAGGCGCTCTGGTCCCACACCTGGGGCAGCTCACTGCCAGCACCTGCGACCTGGCCTTTGTGCTCATCTTCTGGTTGCAGGAGCAAACACCTCCCACCAGCAGGGCCCTGGTATGTGATGCTGAAGTATGAACTGAATTCCCTGGACTCAGGCCTCACCCGCAGCAGGAGGAGGGGGCCATGGCTAATCACTCTGTGGGGAGACTCAAGCCTGCATTCTGGGCAGGACTCCCAGAGTGCTATGGGATTCAACTCCAGTGGCCTAGGGCCAGCCAGCGCAGCGAGCTTGACTGCACAGCAGGCCCTCGGCATCCGCAGGTTCTGCATCTGCAGTTCGTCCAACCATGGATCCAAAATATTCATTTGAAAAAGCATCTATATTAAACATGTACAGACTTCTTTTCCTTATCGTTATTCCCTTAACAGTACCGCATAATAACTATTCACAGAGCTTTGACATTACGTTAGGTATTATAAGGAATCTAGAGATGATTTAAAGTACTTGGGAGAGCGTGCACAGGTTATATGCAAATACTACATCATTTACACGGGGGAAGTCAGCATTCTGTAGTCTGTTTCTGGGGAAACTCAAAGCCTGGACAACGAGCTGCTCTGGGACCTTGGAAAATTGCTTAACTTCTCTGCACCTCAGTTTCCTCATCTGCAAAAAAAGGGGAATGATAATAGTACCTACCACTTGGGGTGGTTATGAAAATTAAACTGAGTTAATATTTATAAAGCACTTAGAATAATAAGCAGTGCATGCTAAGTGCTTCGTTGAATAAATGAATTCTAAGGCTGTCAGAAATCCCTACTCAGAGCGCCCAGCGCGGGGTCCTCCCATCCCTGTGCACCAGGAGGTCACAGCTGGGCTACAGGCCTCGCAGGCAGCACCCAATGCTCAGGGCCAGAGTGAGTGTCCACTGCTCAGGCTCACCCTGCTGTGAAACTCCATTACCCCAGCTCCAGCCACTGGATTTTACTGGCACTCAGAATTCCTCCAGATAAGAGGCTTGCAGGTAATTTCTAAGTGATTCCGGGTGCTAATTGGTTACTGCACAGGGATTATATTCCTCACGTTCAGTCAAGGTCAACTGAAATCCCTCTGTGTGCCTGAGAACAATTTTCGGTCTGTTGGAAGCATTTTTTTTAATCAACGACTATGGTATGGAGTGATTATAATTTGGGCATAAACAAGTGTTTGCAGGCTCTCGCTAGAAAGAAGGACAAATTTTGTCGCATGCAGATAAAACAGTCCTTTACTTCAAGCCAATTACTGGCTCAGACAAATGCTCTGCTCAAGTAGAAAATGTCATCCTCGGTGTTCTGAAATATCACCCAAGTTGCCCCAGGACAGAAGGAATCATTTTGCAAAACTGAGCCTTCTTTCTATACAAGAAAAAAAGTCTTGGTTTCACCCACAATGGTAGTTTTAACACAGCAGCAAATGGACACTGCGTACTCAGAAGACGAGACAGAGAGGTGGAGAGATCACCAGGCAGTTGTTCCTTCTAGGTAAGATGGGTCTCTGGAAGGACCGCTGTCCGGTCTAACTGCTGTCAAAGCATCCAGGCCTCTGCTCTGCCTGGCAGGAGGGCCCTTCTCTCCATTCCTTTGGGCTGAGCAGGCACGGAGAGACCGGCCTTCCAGGATGAAGGCCCCTGGGGAATGGCTGACACGCACAAGCCCCTGAGTTCACGCCACGCATTTTCAGGAAGAGCTGACTGGGTCAGAACCAGCACCGTCACCCAGCTGTGTGGACAGCACAGGATCAAGACAAGGAGGAGCCTGCGGATGCTCAAGGGCTGTTTCTCTCCAGTCGAGGGGGAAACTAACATGACTCTGAAGATAAATGCCAACATCCTTGGCAAGACAGGCACAGCCCTGCCTCTCTGGGCCCCCCCCCACCTCCAGCCTTGCCTTGAACTCACTCCTTGGCCTTTTGTTGGCCTCACCTGGTTGCTATGTAGCTCCCTGCCACAGGGCTCATGCACATGCTGTTCTCACTGAATGGAATGCTTTCCCCCCTCTTTACTTGGTTCATTACCACTGCAGTTTTTTTCCATGATATTTTCCATGTCTTCTCAGACAAGGGTCCATTCCTTTTGTATGTTCCCAAGATACATGATCTCTCTTTCACAGAACTCTATGTGATCGTAATTTTTAAATTTTCTGGTGTTGTTATTTAATGAAGAGCAACAATCCATCTCATTTTAGCTATGCTATTTTATCTGTCTTTTCAAGGTTGGTGGGCTATCGTTCTTATCTAGAATTGATGATTTCCCACCACACTGTACATTAAATTTATGTGAACAAAATAATGTGCTTTCCTTCCTGAAACCACTTTGAAATCACTCAGCACACGTGTAATGTATGTACACAACCTTATCTCTTCCAAAACATTTTCTTTATAAAACTAGGATGTGTTCTGCATACTTGCTGCTCCCACATAGCTGAATATGGGGTTCATTTGTCCCCAGAGAAGGGAAGGGGGTTATCTGACAGCCCAAGGTCAGAGCCAAGGGCAGTCTATTTGATACAATTATTCTCTGGGATGAGCCACACACTAGGCATTTCACAGAATCACTGGCACCACCAATTCCACTTGTGAAGAGTACAGCATGGCCCCATGGGTCCAAATCTGTTGGCAAGCCTAGCTCACTTGGCCTCAGAAAATGTGGTTTTTTTATAAAATGGAGAACTACTCAGCCATAAAGAGTGAGAAATTAGACACATTTATAGCTAAATGGATGCACATTGAGGCGATACTCTTAAGTGAAATAAATAGGACACATGTGTAAATACTGAATAGTTTCTCTAGTGTGAGAAACTGAAAGTGTATACAAGGACTAAAAGTATAATAGATAACGTGAAATAGGAAGAAAAGGGGTGAAGGGGAAGTGGGAAAGGTAGGGGAAAGGAAAGAAGGGAATAGAATTAATATGAGAAAACAAAAAAATGGAAACAAAGTCTTTGTAAATAGGGAGGCATGGAGGGGCTGAAGGGAGGGCAGGGGAAGGGGGAAAAATAACAACCAAGAGAGATTATGTAAAGGTGCAAATTTCCAGTGATGAATGTCATTATATTGTATACCTAAAATGTACCAATAAAATAAAATTTTAAAAAATATATTACAACTCGGTCCACTTCTTTCATTTACTATTACTACCGTTTCAGTGCAAACCACCCTCGAAATCACCAGGGCAGTGAATGAGCACTTTGGAGGAAATGTCTAAGTCTGAATGAGGGACAGAGAAGCAGGAATGGTGGCATAAGGCAAGGAGGCATTGCACTGGGGTCGTCCAGCAGAAATAGGAGTTTTCTAGGAACTAGAACAGCACGGCAAAGGCTGAAAGTCAGGAAAAGCCTATGGTAGAAACCACTCCATCAACAGAAAAAAACGGCATAGTGTAGATTCACCTGGTTCTCATTGATGGCAGAAAGGAAGAGAAAGAAAGAAAAAGAAAGGAAGAGAAAGAGAGAGAAAGAAAAGAAAGAAAGGGAGACAGAGATAGAAAAAGAGAAAGAGGAGGGGCCTGGGATTTAGCTCAGTGGCACCACCCCTCCCTCATAAGCACAAGGTCCTCAGTTCGATCCCTGGCACCAAAAAAAAAAAAAAAGAAAAAGAAAAAAGCGAGCTCACCTCAAACTTCTGCCGAAGCTCTTCATTGCCCTCGCTTCCTTCTGGCGGCACAGGCACATTGAAGTACTCGCCTTCCTCCTGGCTCAGTAACTTAAACCTAAAGGGAGACAAGAGGTCAGGACAACTCCAGGAGTCTCTGCTTGGTATCATTATGTGGAGCCGAGTACGAGAAAAAGGCCTATAAAAGGCTCCACTTTAAACAATGCGTGGAGGGGTTTTGGTTTTGTTGGCTTTTGTTGTGTCATGTGAATGGCCAAGTACAGTATATACATTATTTATATATATATTTATAACTATAGATTGTGCATTCCTCACTCAAAAATTCAAAATCCACAATGCTCCAATAGCCAAACCTTTTCATTGGCAACATGACAGCATGAGTGGAACATTCCACACCATGAAACCTTGATTTTGTGCAAATTAAAAGTAATTATATAAAATTACCTTCAGACTGTATGTATAAGGTATATGTGAAACATAAATTTTGCTTTTACATTAATATCCCTTCCCCATCACGTGCACGCGTGCGCACACACACACATACACACACACACACTCTCTCTCTCTCTCTGTCTCTCTCTCTCTCTCCAACCTCTGAAAAACATCTGAAATCTGAAAAACTTCTAGTCCCAAGCTTTCTGGGAAAAACACACTGTACCTTAATCCATGGATATCAGAAAAAAAATGCACAGTCTATGTCTGTAGGGTGTAAGTTCTCTCTCTTTCTTCACACGCACAGATTCCTTAGTTATATCCATTAGATTACTGGTGTTTTTATCCAAGTTTTGTCCGCTGCGTGCTTTCCATTCTGAGAGCCCCTACTGCAGATGCCCCATGCATCCCTGTCAGCTTTCCCAGCGCTTCTGCCACCTTCCACGTCCCACGTGGACCCCTTGCCATCCCGGCATCGGGCTGCACATGGGTGAGCATGGGCTCCCCAGGACCACTCTTCTCTGCAGCAGCTGCCCAAAGGCTTCTGCATTCACCCTCTTAAGAAACCTTACTCCTGCGTGATTACGTCACAAGCCCAGGTCCAAACCTTGTCCCTGTCCCTGCCTCTCGACCTTAGGTGACCTTAGATTAATTTGGTTAGGCTCACTGAGCCTTTGTATCTCACATTCACACACTGAACTAAAAATCCCCTTTCAAAGAATTGTGGTGAAGCTGACACATGTGAATAACTGCAGTGTTCAGCATTCAGCAAGTGCTAATGAAGGATTCTCATCGCCATCACTATTAATGACATTAACTTTCTTATCACAATCAGGGCGGCTTCAGTTTGTCTCCTGAACACCAGACACTTCCAGCTAGTTAGAGGATGAAAAAGAGGAAGGAAAAGTGGCGTTCCAAAGGCATTTGAGGAACCAGGGGAGGAAAGAGATCCCCAAACTCCCCACTCCCAGATACCTCCTAACCAAAATTTATAATTTTCATCACAATTTCTTTTCTCCATTCACAAATCCTAGGCAGCTTCCAAAAATAGGAGGACAGGTGATTCAAAGCAGAAATGCCACCTCCACAGTTAATATTCTCTTCCTCAAATTTCCCCTGAAGTCACCAAAAGAAATACAAAAATAACAGAACACCAGTATCTTTGCTGGAAATTAAGAAAGGTGCTCTCCATGCAGCAGAGACTTCCAGGAAATTCTGAAAAGTAAAGTAGTAGCAAAAAAAAAAAAAATACAGAGAGGCAATGGGCAAACTTTATGTGTTCATATGCTACCTTTGAGGATTTTGCTAACCTGTGTATGATTTTGACTTATTGCTCTTCATTAAAACATCTTGGTCTTAAATAATAAATTCACTTTTAAAGTCACTTTCTGGGCTGGGATGTAATTTAGTGGTAGTACATTTGCTTAGCACACGTGATGCCTCGTGTTTAATCCCCAGCACAAAAAATGAATGAATACACAGGACACTTTCTATCTCTTTCTTGAAAAAAAATGAAAGCCCCTTATAGCAAATTAAAATTAACTGTTAAAAATGTAAACCAATGCAAACCAATGTTATTCAAGTCTAAGTAGGTAGTATTGCTTACCAAAGGCTCCAAGCCTAAACCTGACCCCTCCCCTTTTTAAAATGGGAGCTCAGCAAAAACCATGTGGCAAAGAGAATCATTTAAGAATATGCCAGAACTTCCTGAGACCTTGTTTTTGCAGTTATTTGAAAAGTGGAAGGAGCACTGACAAAAGAATAGCTTCTTTCAGGTACAAGATGCTATTATTTAGGCACAAATTACATGCTTTCCAAAATCATTTGGGGCATCACACTTTGGAAAGTACAGATTGAGGGAAAATGATCAGCTGTGATCAGTGGAGAGAACCCCGAAGAATCTGATTTGCAACCCTGGATCTGACCTCAGGGAGTGAATGGAGGCCACCAATTGTCATCTGTACTCGGGACACAATGAGAGGCATCCGTACCCAAAGCAGAGGCAAAGGCAAGGCTCCCTGGAGTCACTCAGTACAAGCAGGATGGCACAGAGCAAATGAGGTCCTGCTGGACTTCAGAGTGAGGTCTTATCGCCCCTGAATAAGGACACTGGTACTCATTAGAAGAGAAGATTGGGAATTCCTCTGAACTTTGGGATGCACAGAACCAACTTGGAGAAGATGCTTCTCCATCAGGCAGTAGGCTGCTTGTTACACAGCTGTCTCTAACTGTAGCATCTCTCAAATATGCCCATAGGACAAGACATCCAATTTGACAAAACCAAAATTCAAAAAAAATACAAAAGACCCCTGCCTCCCTTCATCTGGATCTGAAAGATTAGAACAGGAACATTTGTCATTTCTGAAAGGATGGGCAACAAATAGAGAAAGACAACAGGATATATGAAAAACTCAGTCATTCAAACAGAAACAGACAATGGGGAATCTCATCACTACCTCTCATGAAAAAGAACTCTTGCCCAAAGAAAATTCTAGAAAGTCATATTGTCAATGTCCAGAGATTAATGCATCTATGAAAAGGAAAAAAACTGGAAAGATTACTTTCAGAAGAAAAATCTAATCACTGAATTTTAAAAACCCATTGGATATAGAAAATACAAGGAAGATAATTCAGATAACAATTAGTGAATTAGATGACAAAGCTGAGAAAATTTTCTGGCAGTTGGTTTGATACTTACTAGATTAGAGCTGAACTAAATGCTTGTGTTCAAAAAATGCATACTATCAAAATTAACATGCTACATGAAAGGGAGAAATACTGCAGAGTCTCCCAAAAAAATGTATACATCAGGAAAAGTAAAACTTGTATCAATATTTTAATACAAAATTTATTGAGATATCATGAGCATAATAAAAGTTACCTTTGGCCTTGACAGCTATAAAAGGTGCTCAGAATTGTAGCCATTATCTTCCAGTCGTTTATTAGCAGGGTGAACTGCTTTAGTGTGTATACATTTTTTGGCAGACTGTATATATGTTAGCAAAGACATATTCATATCCTTCTTATATAAAAAGTTCATATAAATCAATAAAAAGGTTAAAGACAGGACAGTCATTTACAAAAATAAATGGCAACACACAAATAAAAATGCTCAAAATAATTAAAATATAAAATATGTATATTTGCATCATATGTTCAAAATTTATAATAACATGTTGATAAGTATGAGTAAAATAAAAAGTCTGACACAACATTAAGATATAAAGTGATTTTTTTAAAAATGTAGGATGTGTTAATAGAGTCTTTATTAATGCATACATTTTCAAAGTCATCAATTCCAGGCCTAGGAATTTATTAGGAAATAATTAAAGCTAGGCACACAAAGGTTTCACTACAAGTATGTTTACTGTAAAATTATATTTATAGATAAGCATTGCCATCTTATGATCATATAATTGAGATAGAACCACAGAATGGATCACATGAAGCTACTAAAATGATTTTTCCCAAGAGTACTGAGTGACAAAGAAAAAAGTCCATGATACACTGTTAGGTGGAAAAGGCAGATTACCAGACAGATCTGCTGCAAGCTTTCAGCTTTTTTCATACATACACACAGGAAAAACTATAATACTATTATAGTGTTTATTTCTGGGCAATGGGGTTCTGGAAAATATTTCTTGTTTGCTCATGTATACTTTCCAATAATTACTCAGTTAGCAATGATAACTGACACTTGCTGAGTGCTTACTCTTTCCCACACACGGGGAGCCTTAGATTAAGCACTTTGATACCATAACAATTCTGTGTCATAATCACCACTATTATCTCCTAAAAAGGAAGGGAGGCACAGAGAAGCTAAATAGCTTGCCGGAGGCTACACAGCTACAAAATAGTGTGGAGCAGAAATCCTAACTCGGAGAGTCTGATTTCAAAACATCATCATCCTTGTTTTTTTGTAACAATACCAAAATGTCATTATTAATAATAACAAAAGAAAGTTTAAAGAAATACAATTTTAAGGTAACAGTGATTACAGAGAATAGTTATGGATTTAGAAAGAGATGTAAAATAGAATAAAATAGGAAAGAAAAAAATTTTTAGAAACAGAAACTTCATAATAGAATATGACAAAGGCCATACATGTGAAAACACTTCCCAAGGGCGCGCGGAATACACCGAATCAGTCCGCTGCACACAGGAAGGTCTGTGTACGCCCTACCGAGGTCCTGGGTCATGCGGAAGACACCGAATCACCCCGCTGCAGACAGCCAGCCACCTGGTTCCACACTACAAAGATGCAGAGGACACCAGACCACCAGACCAAGGTACTGAGTCCCGCTGTTCCTGGCCCAGAGGTGGGGCTTCTGAGCCACCATCCCACTGCTCCTGGTCCAGAGGAAGGGGCTTCCCGGCCACTATCCCTCCGGCTGCTCCCAGCCCACAGGAAAGGGCTTTTTGGTCACCATCCCTGCCGCTGCTCCCGGCCCCTGTCCCACCTCTCCCAGCTCAGAGGAGGTAATCCGTGCAGGCGCTAACAGC